AACGAGCATTCAAGATGCCAATGATTTGAATACTTTCCCTCTCGAAGAACTTATCGGGTCTTTAATAACATATGAAATGAGTTATATGACACAAAACGAACATGAGAACAACCTTTCAAAGAACATGAAGGATTTGATACTTAGAACAAATGAAAACCACTCGAACGAAAGCTCAAGTGATGATGAACTCGAACTTCTCATTATAAAATTTAAAAGGTTCATTAAACAAGAATTAAAAAATAAAAATTAACTTAAAATAAAGTTGTCAAAGAAGAAGAGAGCACTCAAGACAGCTCGGAACAAATCGAGTTCATTCGAAGATAAAGAACAAAACAATAAAGGCGAGGTAGCAAACTATGCCTTAACGACTTTCGACGATGAGATAACCAAAACCCCTTTATCTTATTTCGAAATTACTTAATATTTTTTCATGAGTTATTTTTAAATTAGTTAGTAAAAAAATTAAAAAAATTATAAAATTATAAAAAATATATCATGCTTCTTTTTCTAGCTATTTTAAAAAATGATCATGACAATTACATGTTTTATGAAAAGATAACAAAATGTTAGATTTAAATCTAATGATTAATCCTATGTATGTTTTTAAGAAGCAATAGTATGTATCATGTTGATTTCCGGATTGCTTTTTGATTTTGATTGAAGATGTTTTATGTTTAATGAAACCATGTTTGATGTTTTAATGAAAATGTTAAGAGGTTTGATATCATGCTTAATGAGTTTATAGTTTGAAATTATGCATGTTATACCTTGAAAACATGAAACTGTTTTTTGGTATCATGCCCAAAGTAATGATGCATAATGATCATGCTTAATGAGTTTATATTTCGAAATTATACATGTTGATTCTTGTAATTTATGGCTTATTGATCTTTGTCGCAATGAAAGTTATTTTTTTGGTTTTAAACAAGATGGATAGTTTTCATATAAAAAACTTGAGCATATTTATATGAAATCAATTATATAAAATAAAACACATAAAAAGAAAAATATATTATCATTAGAATTAAAATAATAAATTAAATCTCTTGTTTAAAGAAGTCATATGTTTAATGTGTTATATTATTGGTAATGATGATGAAATTTATTTTTCAATCTTAAACGATGATGCATGTTTTGACTTGGCATAAAAAACTTGGGCATGCTTGTGTGAAATAAATCAAACAAAAAAGGGGAAGGAAAATATTTTTCTTAAAGAATTTCTCAATCCCTACTTTATCGATTTTTTAAAAAGGGAGATCAATAAATATATTTATGTTATTTTATGAATCTCTTGATAATAATTTGATGATTTGATGATTTGAATTTGAATGAGTTTTATTCAAATCATGATCTTGATGTCTTGGAATTACTTGAGATTTTTAATCAAGATCTCTTCTTTGTACTCCTACAATTTTTTTATATTTTATTTAAAGAGGAGATTTACTATATGAATCATGTCTTTTGGTATTCACATGATCGATATGATTTTTATAATTCCTTGTATTCATGAAGTATATCTCATCACTAATTTTTTCTTGTTATCCTTCATGTGATAATATGAAATTATGCAATACTCATGATATTATGTTGATGCATATAAATGAGAAGTTATGATCATACATGATTGGATGTAATGTAATTTGATAAATTGATACCATCATGATGTGAAATATTTATGATTTGGAATGATGTATACAATACTTATGATGATATACATGATGCATTGCATATTATGTGAATCATTATTAAAATTGCTTTGACTTGAATACAATTTGAATTTAAGATTTATCTCAATTTTGACATATTGCAATAAGAATAACACTTTATCTTTAAAAATTGATATAAAGGAAAATGAATTGCACCATTGTTTTATTATTCCCCTCTTTTTGCCGATGACAAAGGGAGCGAAAAAATTACTAGTGTGCACATCTCAAAAAAGAAAGATTTGCTAGCTTGCACAATTCAAGAAGATGCAAACACATGCTAGCTTGCTTACCTCAAAAGAGAAACAAATATTGCTAACTTACATAATTCAAAAAGCAAAATTTACTTTCTTGAACATCTCAAATATTACTAGCTTATATTTTCTAAAACGATATAAAAATTTACTAGCTTGCATGATGTAAAACTTGTTAGAATTGCTAGTATGAATATTGCAAAGGAAGCAAAAATTACACTTCTCAAAAGAGAAGAAAGAACTTGCTATCTTGAACATCACAAAAAATTGCTTACTTGCCTATCTTAAGAAGCAAAAGTACAAACTTACAAAATTTATAATCTTACACATCTTTAAAATTAATGATGATTTGGTGATTAGGCATGTTGTAAAGTGATAAAAAAATTTGCTAACTTGTATGTTACAAAATTTGTATATCTCTAAAACGTGCTAGTTGCACTTCTCCTTTTTGTTGATGACAAAGGGGAAGAAGTTATGTTGATGATCATGCATTGAATGATGTATTAAAAATTTGATTATGCATGATTTTATATTGCTTGGGCTCATAATGATTTCTTGATTAAATTTGCTTTGACTTGAATTCAACTTAAATTTAAGGTTCTATTAATATGGCATATTGATAGTGGGAGTTTGTTTAAACTCCAGGAGTTTGTTTAAACTTCATCATCAATTGGTTGTCATCATAAAAAATGAGAAGATTGTTGAATCTCGAATTTTGATGATGAAATCAATTGATAGTATTTATCTGATGTGCGTTTAAGTGACGCAGGACTAACTTCGATCAGAAAAGGTAAATCGATTAAAGCAGGAGGAATCAGATGTTGGGCTGGAGCAAACATATCAGAAGATTGGACGTCGGGCCGAATGATCGATCAACATGTTGACAGAAGGCTTCGGTCCGTGAATTCGGGCATCGGGCCAAGAAGATCGGACATTACTCCAAGGAAATCAGATGTTACGATAAGACAACATGCTAATTGGGCAATACATCGAAAGGAGAGGACGATGCGCCGAATGATCGAATGAAGCGCTAGAAGAACCAATGACATGCCGGGTAACATAGGATTCGCTTGTAATAGATTATGTCTAGATCGAGTCTAATTGAGTCGGTTTAGAATGTAATTAGGCCAACTCAATTAGGGGTCAATTGGGCCCAAGTTTGGACTATGTTGGGCCAAGTAAAAATGCCCAAATAGTAACCCAACAAGTGAAACCGTCATAGTACAATCTCTGATACTGTATCAAGTAGTGGTACCGTTGGTCTGGGCAGTGGTACCTCTCAAACACAGTCTCCAAGAGACTGTCAAGCGGTGATACCGGTAGTCTGGGCGGTGGTACCGCCCAGTGTCTGGCTGTAGGCGGTGGTACCGCCTAGTGCAGGCAATGGTACCGCTCGTACCCCGAAATCTCGGGGATATAAATTTTGGCTCCAAATTTTGAAGCTATTTGGAGGTCTATAAATACCCCGGCTATTCCTGCATGGAGTAGTAAGAAAAGTGAACAAAAACTCTATGTTTCTAGAGTTGAAAACCCTTATAAAGTGTAGAGTCCATCCTCCTAAAGTTTAGAGATCATTCTAAGGGAGAGTGTGAGGGTAGCTTTGTAAAATGGAGGTGTAAAGATTCTCACCTGTCAAAAGGAGAATCGAGTTGTAAAAGGGTAGTTGGTCTTCGCCCATTGAAGGAAGACCGGTAGTGAAAGCTGGTGGCCTCGAGTGAAGAGGAATCGGGAGTGGATGTAGGTCACGACAACCAAACCACTATAAAATCAGTTTGTTGTCTTTTATTTTATTGTTTACCTTTGCTGTAAATCATTTACTTGCTCATTGCTTATTTTCTCATTACACGCTTACGAAAGTATTTTTAAGTGAACATCTTTCCGATCGATTTTTAATATTTTTCGAAATCGATGACTTTTATCTGTTGTACTAATTAACCCCCCCCCCCCTCTTAGTGTCGACTCGTTCCTAACAAAAATAAGGCAACCAAGCTTAAATTTGAAGAACTCATTTATATTTAATGTATTATGCATGATAAGTTCCATTTTAATGGATGGAATACAATCCAAAATACGCGTAAAAAAATACCAATAAATTTGCAAAAGGTACTAAGTGAATTAGTAACGAGATTATATGGAAGATTCATGCTTCATGTGATTCCTTTTGATTATTTGAATACGATTTTAGTTGATCAAATACCTAATTATGTTAATGTTGCATCTGCGTATTTAGTAAAGAGTTTTTCTTATCGAGGAATATTGCTCAAAATATTGCCTCTCCTATACTTCTTTCTTTCTTTCTGTACAAGTTATCGTGACTTGAGAATCGCTTCTGATACTACACATTTGCATATATGAACAAAATGTACAACATATATCCATGGATATTAATCACATAGTTGCATTATATCCATGCATTAGGTTTCTACATCACATCAATTATAATATATATATATATATATATATATATATATATATATATATATATATATATATATATATATATATATGATCTCACTCTTATTCTTTTTATTTTGATTTCTCCTCTCCCTCCCCATCAGCCCACTTAAGATGTCTGATTCTTTTATTTGGCTCTCTTGTTGACCCAAAGTGCTGGCTGCGTCACCACGTATCGTCACGATTCCTCTGTCTCTCTCTCTCTCTCTCTCTCTCTCTCTCTGGGTCGCTGCTCTCTTCTCAACCCCAAGGCAACCGGGATAAGTACGGCCACGTTACTAGAGAAGGGCGACGTCTTCGTACCTCCCACGGACGCCACTTGCTGCGTGCTTGTCAGAAGTCAACCACCTTCGTGAGCAGCCACTTAGAGATCACAATTCTCGGGCGTCCAAATCAACCCACCACCTGCTCGATTGCACCCAGCAAAACCACCATTGAGTATTTCACGCTTCTTTCTTGACGAGTAGTGTTCTGTCTCAGTGCGAAGCTCCACAAAAAGACATGCACAGTTGCACTTACTTTAAATCAGCACGCCCACCGAACAAAAAAGCTGAGCTTGTCCGCTTACGCCGCTGCAATCCACATCGGCATGTTGGCGGATCGTTCCAAATGTCAACGTTCCACGGGTGTATTATAATGCTTAGATTCTTTCTTCCTCCACTTAAAAATCCATCCGCAGCCCCACTTTGTTCAACGACCAAAGCCCAAAAGAAAAGAGGAGGAGGAGGAAGAGAAGATTGCAGTGAGAGATGAAGCTGGTTTGGTGCCCTGAGACTGCCTCCAAGGCCTACATCGACGCAGTCACGGCCCTCGCCGATCGGAACCTCGAGGAGATCAACGTCGCCGAGCTGGTCTCCGCCATGGCTGGGGGTTGGAAAGCGCAGCTCATCGTGGAAGCATGGGCTCGCGATGCCGGCGCCGCCACCGGCGTCGGGCTCCGAGCTGCCGCCAAGCACGGGCGAGGCCGCCACGTGTGCGTCGTTCCCGGAGAGCAGTCGGCGGCGGAGTACGTCGACGCGATGCGACGGGCGGGAGCTGCGGTGGAGGCGGAGTCGGTGGTGGTGGGGGAGGCGGAAGAGGTGATGCGGGAACTGGAGGGGGTGGACCTGATGGTGGTGGACTGCCGGCGGAGGGACGCGGGGCGGGTGCTGAGAGAGGCGCGGCCGGGGCCGAGGGGGATGGTGGTGGTGTGCAAGGGGGCGGGCCGGCGGCGGGGCGGGGCTGCCGTGGCGCTCGGCGCGGGGACGAGGGTGGTGCGGTCGACGTACCTGCCGGTGGGGTGCGGCGTGGAGGTGTTGCACGTGGGCGTCGGAAACGGGCCGAGCTTGGGTGGCCGCGGAGGCCGGTGGATTAGACACGTGGATCGTGACACCAAGGAGGAGCACGTGTTCCGCCGGCGGTGAGACCGATCTGTGTCAACCTCTTAATCCTGTCTTAATCTGTTTCAGTACTCAACTAAATCTTCTGTGAACAAGATATATAAACAAGAACGCCAACAAGCTTTTGGAACTGCAATATTTTCTTTAAATAATTGCTGAGGTATTTGTTTTTTTGTTTTTCTCTAATGTATCCTTATGTTCGCAATACGGCGGTTCAAAACGTTGATTAAATTCTTTAAAATTAAAAGTAAGCATAAAAAATATATTATCAAAAATATTCCCCATATAATTTAATTAGCACCTTCGATCAAGATCGAAGAGAGATACATATAAAAGAAAATTCTTAATTGACTCCGAATCATTATTTAATTCGAATAATTAATTGTTTAAGTTATTTTTATTTTAAAAAAGTAAAGGATTTTGCCCGTGTTAGGTATTAATTCATATTTGAATGTAATTATGACTCATTCCAAATAGTAAGAATCTAATTAGGATTCATAAAATATTTACCAACTCTAATACTACATTATTCTAGTTCCAATAAAAATCAAATTAGCATCCATTTTCAGAGGCGTTAATTTTTTAAATTTTTTTTACAAATGCTAAGTAGTCTTGATGTGGATTTCAGATATAACATCTTATACTCTGTATTCAACAAACCCATAATCTCAATTTGGACATTTTAGTGCACTGATGTGGACGGGGAGTTATTATGCACGCTTTTATTTCACCTATGAAAATACACTTAGTGCGTTCGAATTCCTTCCTCGACCTCTCATTTTATATCATTAATATCCTGACTACCTAAACACCGCCAATTCCTCGTTTCGGTTCTCACACCACACTACACAACAACAGGACCGAAATGATTGCGTCCGACGTCAACGCCGTGCATGTAATGCAAAGCATGACACGCCACCATATATCATCGGCGTGTATCATTAATTGTATTTTGGATCTTTCTTGTACAGCCGAACAACAATCGAGCCACATGTTCAGCTCTCGAATATTACTGCGACGCATCTACTCCGACCGATTTAATTGCCGAACCAAGATGGCAATTTGGGTTGGGTTCAACCAGCATGGGACATTAAGCGGTTGCCAATAAGTTGACTCAAGCCGATTCGATGCCACCCCAAATTTATGTCTAAACATGTTCTTTTTAATGCAGTATATCAATCAATTAAGATTTTTTTTTCAACTGAAAATTATATATATATATATATATACATATATATATACATATTAACTGGACATGTTACCCAGATCCAAAATCTTATTAAGTATGAACAGCCTCTCACTGAGGTGGGGGGGAAAAAAACATAAAAATAAATAAAAATAAAAACAACCCAGGAAATGTGATTGCTGGATATTCTGCACGCACCACTCTGGGCAGTATTATTTCTTTCCTACACTGCAGTATTATTTCTTTCCTACACTGCAGCTGCGAAGGTCTCTCGTAACCATCGTCGTGTCACTTCGACCGTTGTTACCGCACTCGCTGTTGTACGCGCAGAGCACCGTGCACTTGACCACCCCACCGCCACCGTTGTTGTTGTACACGTGGAACCCGGGAGCCACCATCGCACGCACGCACGCTGTGGTCTGCCGCCTGGCCCGGTCGGACGCGACGTCCTCCATGAACCGGCCGTCGAAGCGCGCTCCCCGGCCGGCCCTCAGCGCCGGGACCGCCGGGTGGACGGAGCGCGCCATGAGCCGGACCACCCACGCCCCCTTTGCCGCCCCGAAGAAGGCTTGCAGCAGCCCCTCTGGCCACGCTCGCGCCAACCCGACCATCACCACCACCTCGCTCATCTTCCGGTCGCAGAACCGGCTCAGCCCCTCGCTGTAGTGCCGCGTCCCATTGCTGAGAACCTCTTCCCAGCCCAGCCCCCGGACCGCCTCGTAGCCCGCCCGGCTGGCCGCGCACCGGACCGCCGGATCGATCTGCCTCGCCTCCTCCTCCTCGTCCTTCTCGAACCCGTCATAGAGCACTCGGTTCAGCAGCGCTTCCATGTAGAACACCAAACCGCCGGGGTTCCTCTGCCACTGGACCGCGGCCCGGGGATCGTACGACTGGATCAGCGCGGCGACCCGGTCGGAGGACAGCGACCCGGGTGGGCTGAGTCGGAGCTGAGCGATCAGAGATCGGGCGAGGTGTCGGACGGCAGCCCGTGCATCGGCAACTGCGAGGTGGAAGGACTCCGCCGGGAAGGTGCCGGAGGACGGCCCAGGAGCAGGGCCAGATTGGAGGGCGGCCCGGAGGTCGCAGCAGTGGGACTCGAGGCGATCGATCTTGTCATCCAGCTCGGCGAGAGACTGCTTGAGGCGGGAGGCCTCGAGCACGGCTTCGTCACGCTTCCGCGTGGTGTGGATAAGCTTCCGGGAGAGCTCCGCCGCCAGGAAACGCCATTGGTCCTCGCGGATAGCAGAGGAGGCTGCTGCGGCGGAAGAAACGGCGGGGCTCCGTCCGGTGAGAGAGAAGAACAAGGAGCGGAGGAGGCCGCCTTGACCGGGAGACGAAGAGGAGAAAGCGGTGGGATGTTGGCGGCCAGAAGCAGTGTCGAGGGGAACGACGGATATGAGCTTGTCGCGGGAGGTCGGTCGGCAGTTGTTGCAGGATACGGACACACCCTCGCTGTCGTCGTGGCCTCTGGAACGGGAGGGTCGCCGCGTGGTGGCCATTGGTAAGGCAATTGCCGCCGAGGACGCGGTGGCGGCGTGGTGCTGCGCAGGGTTGTGCACGGACGAAGTACTATCGGTTACGGCCGCAGTTGATGGCTGTTCTACAGGCACTGCTTCCTGCGGCTGCTCTTCTTCCTCCTCCTCTTCTTCCTCGTCGTGTTCGGGAATCTATCAACGACGTACATGCAAGTGTGAGAGCTTTCTAAAGACTCAAACCAATTGAGGAAGAATTGAGAAAAGAGAGTGCTGCTTACAGGGGTGAATACCGAAGAGCGCGGAAAGGGCGGAGGAGGAAGAAAGGAAGAGGAGGAGGAGGCGGAGGCCATATCGGAGATGGGCTAATTCTCGTGTCGTTACGTCTGTGTTCTCTGCGGGGCAGGGTCGAGTTAAATGCAGTGTCCAAACGTCACTCTCACGCAATAAATTGGCTGCAGTCTTCGTTTGCTTGCGCCATTGTGGTTAGTCTGTTCTCTTTTGTCTCTTTATCCGTCTCCCATTCCTCTCGACTGTCAATTGCAGTGGCAGAAACATCCATCAACAAAGCAGCATTTAACCCGACAGCAGGACATTTTGGACGCTCAAAAACACAGGAAGGATGCACGTCGAGAGTCGGTGACGATTCTGTCGTTATGAAATAAAAGGGTTAAAAAAAAAGATAAAACTTTTATCTGTAATCTATTTACCCGTTTACTGTAATCTCTTAATAAATTATAAGTTTTTATCCATTTAAGCTAGTTCTTAATATTAACTAGGATGAATTCGTAGAAAAAGTTTATGTTATTAAGAAATTTTTGCACAGCGTTGCATGAATTAATAATTTTAACTTTGGCCTTCCTTGGATTCACCTTCATCTCCACCCTAGATTATTCCTATGTTAGTTCTCTTCCTTTTGCTCTTCTAGATTCATCATTATTTTTGTTAATGATTCGTCCTTACCTATCTCATCCTCAAGCGAGGAGATAGAGGGCATAGAAGCGACGACAATTCTCATTTGAGAAATAAGGGGTATTAAGACCATAGATAAAATGCACGAGATGCACAGGGGAGGATTTGACAAGGTTCCCTCCGTCCTCTCCTTTCTCATGCAATTAACACAAGGATAACGAAACAATACAAGGATGATACATAATAAAGACAATGATAGATTTGATGAGGCTAAAGATAAAATTATCATTTATAAAAAAAATAATTTATAAAAATTTTAAAAAATTAGATGCTTGTGAAAATTTAACAAAAATATGGATTTTTTCTTTAAAAAATCGTTTTCTTGATAATTTAATATTTTAAATTTTTTTTAGGACCACATAGCTGCCGGTCTTCCCCGCATGTGGTCATTCATATCCTATGTGTGCCGATTTTATCCGTTATGGAAAATTCTGTGGAGATGGATATTATAATACGCTGTGAGAGAAATATGTTAATTTATATAATAATTAAATCGTTAAAAAGAAGAGCAAAAAGACACAGATAAAAGTCAGTTTCAAGCTGTGAGCGTGAGTCATGGTTGATTGTCTGAAGCGACGACCTCTCAACCGCCTGCAATTATACACATCATATTCCATTCACAAGTCACACCCCGTGACGGTACCACCAATCCCTAAGTCGCAAGTTGCGGGCGGCCGTCCCCAAATGGGGCTTGTTTCGCAAACACGTGTGTGCCGGCACGCGCGCCACACCTCCATACTGCCAAACCATTAGATAAGGATACGGTCCCGCTTCGAGGGCAAAATTCTAGGATATATATATATATATATGGTATATAAAATTTGTAAGGGTTAAATATCAAGAATAAAAATAACAGGGAGAGATTCCAATCTAAGTCATCATATTAAGATCAAAACGGGGTTAAGATGTCACTTTAAGATGAGAAAGTGTCATAAATCATGGTTTGAGATAATATGGGGGACACAGATGAATCGTATGAGAGAATATATTTGGAAATATATTTAAAATATAAATCAATGTTTTATATTTTTAAAAAATATATCTGGCTTGGATACTACATTAAAAATAATTAAATGCTAGTATTTCAGTATTTACATGATACAAATATAATTTTTTAAAATTCTAAATATATCCTGTGATAAATCAATATGATTTATATATTTTTTAAAATAAAACTTTATTTTATATATTTTTTTATTTAAATATATATTCAAATTTGAATAAATATTTAAAAATATTAGATAGATAAATTTATTATAAAATATTTAATGGACTTGTGAATACATTTTGACCAAAACAAAATCTACATCAGTGCATATTTAAAATATATTTTTTCATATATTATTTACCAAACACTTAAGGTATTTTACAACCGCACATTCATTAATACCCTTTTCTCAAACTACATATTAAAAATATAAATATGTTTCCAAATGTAACTTTAATCATCTAGAAGGATGATTAAAGTTATACTGAGAGATCCACTTCAATGGACAATACGATGATTAAAAGAATTATATATTTAAAGAGTAAATATCGTGATATATGCATACACAAAACTTGATGTCAGATAAAAGACTTTTGGCGTTGTCATCATTGTAGCCGTGGCACTCAATTTCCTTCGAAGCATGCAAATCATACCATCTTAAGATCCATCATCGCCGGTAATGCAGCAATTGTCCTCGTGCTATCAACTAACTACATCAAATAACATTCTCTGGTAGTATGGATTTGTGAGGCTCGTGGGTTTGGTTACATCAAGTTTGCGAGGGATTACCGCATCACAATTATATTTTAGGATTATTAAAAAGTCAACTTAAATAAATTAATGGTAATCATATTTATAAATGATTAATCTAAGTTTTCTACACGGAAATTAATGACAGTAGCGATTATATTTACGATGACAAGTATGCTTAATAATCAAACTTTGCAAGAAAACCCGAGTAGAGTGTTCATTGCTACATGCATTCCAATCACTGCCACAAAACAAACGTTAGCATAAGTAGTGTTCATCATGAACTGTAAAATCACCAGCGAAAGCTCACTTCCTGAGTGCAAAAGCTTCCCTCGATATCAACATGCTGCTACGAACACACAGCTTTTTTTTGCATGGGAGCAGAGGAGCAAAGGTAAGCCATCCTTCTTAATCGCGCTTGCCACTCATGTCCGTCATTTCCCCATGCTGCTTATCTGCATCACTCTGCCTCCTCAGCTGCTAACATGAAACAGTGAGTCAACAAGAGATAGATAAATGTATTCATTGCTTGAAACAAATTATCAAGACAATCTAAATGCTCAAACTCATCAGTAGAGTGTCTTTATGGGGGACAGAAATTTGAATCCACCACTGCGTCACTTGGAAATTTTAAGTTTCAGCTGCAACATGTACAGATTTTGGCTAGGAAAAACACTTGATTATTTACCTTCACAGACACTGCTTTGTGATATCTGTAGCCCTGCAATTGTCGAGGCGGAGGCAAATTAATTCACCACTTGTTTGCATGTGAAATGTGCAGGTTTAGACGATGAACAGATGGTGCTAAATAACCTTATCAGTCCCATATATGTAGTCACAGTAGGTGAAGACCGATGCAAAGTTGCTGTGACTCTGCCCTCCTACGTAGTGATGGTAATCATGGAACTCTGCTCCTCCGTAGAACGGGATGTACTTGGTAGGGGTTCGAGGGAAGTCGTAGCTGCCACATCCCACCATGTCAGGGGAAAATGCCGAGTGAAACGGAGACGAATGTCAAGGCCGGAGAGAGAGAGAGAGAGAGAGAGAGAGGGGTACCCGCAGTGTATCTCGATGGCTTCGATGTGGCGGAGCACGAACCAGAGCCAAAAGGTGAGGATGTGGCCGGGGGCGATGGCGGGGCCGAGGAAGGCGGGCAGCCCCAGGATGAGGACCTCGGCCCAGTGGGCGTACGGCGCCGCGAACCCGATGGGCGCCGTGAACTCGTGGTGCACCCTGTGGACGTGCTCGTAGCCCCACCGGCAGTGCAGCGCCCGGTGGAGCCAGTAGTTGAAGTAGTCCTCCACCACGAAGTACACGCCCAGCTGCGCCGCCACCTCCCACGCCGAGGGCAGCGGCAGCCCCAACCGAATCCCCCACCACTGCAACCTTCCCCAATCATACATCAGAGAGCTAGAAGATGCTTTGAGATGCGTGCTTCGGATCGTATTTTGAGCCCAAGGATAATGGCCCGACATGGTTCCGTCTCTCCGGTCGGCGTCAGCACCCACGTGGGTGATGGTCATCGGCTAACCCTTCGGCCCTACATAATCCCCTTTCCCGGACAAGTTAGCCAATGGCTCACACACTCACTCACCACACAACAGCATCTTCCTCCAAATGGACTTATGATCGAGGTGAAGCTTCGTAGAGAGATGATGGCCACAATGCTACCTTACAATTATCTAGAACAGATCACATGCGCTCACTCTCCAGTTATTTTTGAGATACGATTCAAATCATAAACATATTTACGCATGCAAGAAATTGAATCGAGGTGCATGAAGGCCTACGCACCTTGATGGTGGGGAAGGAGAAGAGCTGCAGAGGACCGACGGCAAAGACGAAGGTCTTGACGACGTTCCTGTAACACCTGAGGACGTCGGCGACGGGGACGTGGATCTTCGGCTGGAGCTTGTACCTGTGGATGGCCTTGGGGCGCATCAGCTCCACCAAGGCCACGGGGAGCGGCGCCAGAGTGTAGACCAGGAGGATGAAGACGATGTTGTGGGCGTAGAGCCAGAAGTCATGCATCCCGGCAGAGTACCGGAACCAAACCGTCTCCGCCGAAGTCAGGTTCCTCCCAAGTGCCGCCTCCGCCTCGCTGATGCTTGCGAACGGCAGCATGGTGGCGGAGGCCAAAGCTACGGGGAAGGAGATAAGGAAGGGGAGGTGGAATGGTGATGCCTCTAATAGATCTTCTTCCTGCACATATAGGCAGGCATCGCGTGCGAACACTATCAACCCACCCTCCTTGATTGCACTAGATCATCAATGTCTCAATTCATGGCAGCTCCACGTAAGAGGAAAAGGAGCAGTGCTTGTCGGGCAAGTTGAGGTTGACTACAGAGAGACGAACTCCATCTCTCTTCCTCTTCAAATGACGTTGCCGTAGGGCGACCACATCTTGGAAGAGCCGATCCCTCCACTGCTTTCTTGTGATATTTTTATCTCCAACATGGGCAATTGACAACGGATCACAACCATCATTTAAGATCCAGAGATTACAGCACGTAGCGTGTCATGGCATGCCATACTGCCATGTCGAGCCTTAGTACAAGTAATTAAATCAGCACCAGTCTAAGTCGTTTATTGAAGAGATTGGCACTGTACTAGCGTGTCATGGCATTATATATATATATATATATATATATATATATATATATATATATATATATATATATATATATATATATATATATATATATATATATATATATATATA